ACGTCTCGGAATCCGATAAAAATTATAAAATTCGAATACCCATTCAACCACGAGTCCAACCATACCAAAATTAGTCGAATCCTATCACATCGGCCTTCAAATTCTCAAATTAAAGACTATGAAGTTTCTACATTTTTTTCCAAATTTTCATCTCAAAACACTAATTAAATGATGAAAATAATGGTATATTCATGTATATTAACCAGATCTGAGTTAGAATTACTTACCCCGATGAATTTCTTCAAAACCTCGCCATAAACCGAGCTCTCTAGGTCCAAAAAAAAAAAATGAGATAAAACCCTCATTTATTTGGTACCACATATGATCTCCCAAAGTGTTGATCGCACATTTTTTTGTGGTCCGCACTTCCAAGCTCCGCGGCTGTGATCCACATTGTGTGGCCGCACTTCAGCACCATATACACTACCAGGATTTAATAAATTGACCATAACTTTCTGTACAAATATCCAAATGATAAATGATTTAACTTTGTGGAAACTATACTCAAAGGGCTACAACGTTCATTTTTAGGTAATCTCCAAATTCCTTATATATTAAAAGATATAAGCTTCCGAAGCTAGACCATCAAACCTGCAGATTTCCCCTGCTGTGGTCCTCACTTTTCCTCTGTAGTCCGCACATGAGGCTTTGCCTCAGCACTCCAAAATGTGCCCCGCACTTCAACCGCTCCAGAACCTCATCAAAGTGCCGAAATGCCCAAACTTGTTCAAAACTCACCCGAAACACACCCGAACCACTCGGGACCCCGTCCGAATATACCAACAAGTCCCGTAATATAACAAGGACCTACTAGAGGTCTCAAATCACACCTAACAACATCAAAATCAGGAATCGCTCCCCAAATCGAACTTAATAAACTTTTAAACTTCCAACTTCTAAAACTCGTGTCGAACCATATCAAATCAACCCGAAATGAACTCAAATTTTGCATGCAAGTCCCAAATGATATAAAGAAGCTATTCAAATTTCCGGAACCATAATTCGAATCCGATATCATCAAAGTCAACGCTCGGTCAAACTTATGAACTTTCCAAACCTTCAAATTTCCAACTTTCGCCAATTAGTGCCGAAACCTTCTAGAAATGCCCAAATGCAAATCCGAGCATATGCCCAAGTACAAAATCACCATCCGGACATAACAGGACCATCAAAACTCTGATTTGAGGTCGAATACTAAAAATTCAAACTTTGTCAATTCTTCCAACTTAAAGTTTCAACTATGAAATTCATTCTTCCAACTAATTTCGAACCACCTGAAAATCACAACCGACACACACATCATAATAAATCATATGAAGTTACTCGAGACTTCAAATATCCGAATGAAATGCAAATACTCAAAACGATCGGTTGAGTCGTTACAAAGAAAAAGGGAATGGGGATGGAAGTGGGGAATTACTACCTCAAAGTTAATTGGTACCAGCTAGTACTACAGGGGAGCCAACAGAGGGACCTTCTCCCTCTGCCCTAGGAGGAGAACTCTGCTCCTACTTGGGATGAAACTCCATGCTCCACTAAAAGGCCCCTGGATAGTACTGACCCTCTCATTTCTCCTCATCTAGATGCAGTTATGTTAGATTTTGTGATTCCTGAGATGAAGCCTTTGTTTGAAGAAGAGAATGATGAAAGTGAGTAGGATTATGATGATATTCCTATAGCACAGTTTATAGCTGCTAAAAGTGGTAGGGCAATCTCCAAAGAGCCCGTTCTTAGAAGACCCACTACTAGGCAGCAAAAGAAAGAAGCACTTGAAAATGCTTTGAAAAAGAATAAGGAGAAAAAGAAAAGAAGAAGATTGGTGAAAGGCGGAAAATTGGTGAATGGGGAGGATCTGCTTCCGGCCAATATTGTGAATGTTAAGGACGGAGAGGTGAATGAGGAACATGCTTCCCTTATTCGTAAATCCTCTAAGAAGTTTGTGATTGCGAAGTCCAAGAAAGGGTCGTCTGTGAAAAGTGTTGAGAAGAAGAAATCTCAGAAGAGAAAGGCAAGTGAGTGTGAGGAACCTGGTTCCTCCAAGAAAGCTAGGGTGGACGAAGTGTCTGAAGTTGACAGAAGAGAAAAGCTAAAGAAACAAAAAGTGATGTGGGGCAAAGTGTTTGATGCTAACATTCTTGACATGTCACGCATGAGACAGCTGGTTAAAATTTGCGAGTTTCAGAAGTGGAGTCATCTATTTACCGTTCAGAGTCCCAAAGTCTATGAAGAGGAAGTTCAGAGTTTCTACGCGGATCTATTCACTGTGGAAGACGAAAATATCTGCCTGAAGGTCAATGGAGTGGATTTTGTGATGGATGAAGCTGTATTGGGGAGTATCTTGGGTGTGCCCACTGAGGGGCTCTCGTCTATTGAAGGGATCTGTTCCTCTAACTTTAGGAAGGTCATTCTAAAGCATCGGGTTGTTCAGAGAGGGGAACGGGTGCACAAGAAGGTCTGCTTCCAGTATATCGGCTAATGTTTGAGGTGGTGAACAAGGTCATGCTCCCTTGCGCGGAAAGGCATTCCATACTTCAATAGCGGATCGGTTCGTCTTGGAAGCATTGGATGGATACACTATTATCAACTTGCCTGGAATCATGATTGAACATATGAAAAAAGGTGGCAGACTTCAAGGATGGGAACCATGGTTTGCCTTATGGGCTCCTGCTCACTAGAGTGTTTGAATAATTCAAACTTTCCTTGGTAAGAGCAGTTGTGCGAACTCGAAAGCAAACGTTCTCAATGACTACCTTGGAAGAGTGCGAGTGTATCAACAAGAAGGGGGGAGTTGGCAGCAGTTCTACGATTTCTCAGCTGATTGATACTCAGACTGTAGCTAACGAGGAAATACAGAGGTTGAAGGATAGGAATGCCATTCTTGAGGACAGCTTAGTCATGCCAAAGAAGAACCTGGTTCTAGCAGTGCACATGGTGCAAAGGTTGCTCGCTTGACAACTGAAAATGCAGACCTGGGGAAAAAGATTGAGAACCTGAAAGAGCAGCGGTCTGCAAATGCTCGAGTGTGCAAATGCTCGAGTGTGCGGTATGCAAATGCTCGAGTGTGCATCCCAATGACCTCACTTATATATTATCAACATGAAGCAAGCGATCACACGCACTTGCAAACCCTAAAATATAAACTCTCTCTCAAGTGTGCAGCCGCCTTCATTTCACTCCAAGGCTTGAAGAATAAAGTAGCAACGGAACAAATGACCAGATCCTAGCACTGAGTTCATCATGTGTCCTTAGTATTGTTGTATCTTTGTTAATGTTATTTACTTGTAATTCCTACTCATATTAGTTAGAAGCATCTCGTAGAAAATCTTTGTAAACCATAAACCTTGTGTTTGTGTTTGACTAGAGTTAGTCAAAGTGGTGAGCTTTGTAATAGAGTTATTACAAAGAGGCTTGCAATAAGTAGGTGAGGGATTAAGAGTTTAATTCCTATATTACAATAGGTTGTAATCTAAAGTTGCTCGGTTAGTGAAGTTGAAATCCTACGAGTGTAGGTCGTGGTTTTTAATTTCGTGAGCTGGGAATTCTCCACGTAAAATACTATTGTATTATTTACTTACTGTTGTGTGTGTTTATTCTGTGGGAATTGGTTCTCTATACAATTTGGTAGACTCTTAGTTTACATCAGTCAACAACCAATTTTTCTCTTTAATTAATCTGGAGCATATGAAGAATTCGTTAGTCTACCAATTTGTCTAAATTTTACCATCTTAGTTGCTTGCAGTCAAATTGTTCCTCTTTTGTTGACCCATCTATCAACATATTCTTTCATGTGCAGCCCTATTTTTATTAAGTTAGATAATTCATTCTTTAACGGAATAGTGCAATAACTAAGCATAATTTATATTGTAATATCAGGAGTTTAAATTCTGGTTATTTCTCAAACTTTGCCAAATTGGAGAAATAAAAGATTAATAACAGGAAATGAAGAACTATAGCCCCTATATATAATATATCACCCAGTCATCTTCCTTGAGGAGTGGGGGTGGGTGGGTGGGTGGGAGGGTGGTATAACAGAAGACGGCATGGCTTATGAGATATTTCCTTATTGGAGGAAATATATAAAAAAGTGCATTATTCCCTCGATACAATAACTTGGAGTTGATTTACGCCTAATATTCGGCCTTGACAAATTGCCTGTTATTTTTTTATTTTTATTTTCAAATTCTTGGACAAAGATCACTTTTAGTTCTCGGCTAAAATTATTTATATCAGATAACAGTAGAAGTGTATAAAATTTATATATATTTTATGTATAAGAAATATATATACTTATATTTCTTATACTTAATTAAAATATATAAAAAATATATATTTTTCAGTTATTAATTTACGAGCGACTATACAATATTATTTTTCCAATCTCTTTCCACTTTACCCTTGTGCTTCATTTCTTATGTTGCGAGAAGTACGATTCAATTTGGCCACTCTCCAATTGAAGGATTATTTGCACATAAATATCAAACTGTAATGACAAAATTGCTAGAAACTAGAGAATATGAAGTTGTAACTGAAATGGTCAAATAAATTAACGACGACCATCTCATCAGATCAATCTATTGCTTGAACATTCTTGATATATTCACGTTTCCTATTCGAATCATAAGCTAGAGAATTTGTCGTGCATAACATGCATCTTCTTTAACTTGCTCGGCCATTTGACCCATACTTTTCTTTTCAATTAACAGATTGTTTCACAAGATTGCCTCCAAAATAATTCAGATTAAGACCTTCTCGACGCTTATTGTTGTCTTTTCCTTTTTAAAAAAAATAAGAAAGTGACCAGATAGACACCTATAGTCGGGAAAAAAAAATGTAACTCGTGAATGCCTGATGCTGACATGACAAAGGAACTTCTCCACAAGTTAATTTCTAATGACCAACTAATTATCAATTAGAGACTCGGTAAAATCTACCTAAAAAATGACAATTAATTCTTCATTCTCCTGGAAAAATCAAGCCTCAGATCAAGGGAGAGGAAAAGATAAAGTAAAAAGGCATAGAACAGAATTAAATAAACCAGAAGAAGATCAAAATTCAAAATTTTCCACAAATATGGATGGATAATACTTCAAAATCCAGCGAATGATCAAAGTTCAGCTAATGAAATGATGCATGATCGGCATATCTGCACTAATTGTCGTATGTATTCAATCTGCTGGCAACAATTCCATCAATTTACCTGGTCCTCCGCCCTGTATCTCAACATTCATCTAACCTGCCCTGATCTCCATCTTTAACTCTCCAGTCTTTCAAAGAAGTACAAGTATCCCATGTCGAGAGGCGGATTTTTTGAAATCCCAACCTTTTCATCATTAAAAATCACCCATCTACCATCCTTGAGAATATGAGCTACATAATGGCCACAATGGGTAGAGGTGCCTATGTGGCTCACCAATCCAAGGAGCCTGTATCCTGTTTATTCAAAGCAAACTTTGTCAAATAACCAAGTAGCAAGAAATTACCTGAGATAGAAGCAAATATTTCACCAGTATGGATGAGTGATATGCATCATTTGGACCAAGAATATGATTAGCATTTCCCAGTATTCAATTTTCTAACAACCGAAATCTAGTTGTGAAACTCGGTAGATAATTGCCATGCCCCTCTACCCTTCTCCACTTAAATACCAGACTTGGTTCCTAGCAAGATTCGAGTGTGACGTGCGTCTACCACACATCTATTGTCATACTACATTTAGTATTGAACCAAAGCCCTGGGGGATCCCAGTATTACGTATTATCCAACACTCAAACAGCTTATGCAAGCAGAACTAGGTGTTTTGCCTCAAATCTACAGCCTTAAGCCCTTAACTTGCTAAAGTCTTCTTGGACCATGCTCAGGAACATTCTCTGGTATTTGCAATTGGTCCAAACAAAAAGTCATGGGATCAAAGAAAGAGGACAGTCTCGATTGATCGCTCAGTCGAAAAGATTCCCATAAATGTGAACTCTTCTAATCCAATACTGAAAAGTTGTATCATGAAAAGCCAAGCACCTCCCCTCCAAAAGACTAGAAACAGCAAAATTTGTACACAAAGGGCAACCACATGTGAGTTGAGTTTAGATGCAAAGGAAAATTTCACAGTAGAAAAAACAATCTGTATACGTAATCCAAGACCAGGTGATTGACTATTATTACCAAATAAGTTCCTAGGCTCCTCAGTTAAACTACGAAAACATAAATAGGAATAGAAAACAAAAGGGCGCTCCTAGGCTCGCTTGTGTATTTTGTGCAAACATGTTAGATCTAAGTAAAATTATACGGCAACTAATAGAAGCAGGGATGGGGAACTAACTTCCTCCTCCATCAGGCAGCAAGGTATCGACCGCAGCTCCACCACTAGTTGTAACATCCATATCTGATGCAGCAGAAGCACTAGGATTACTAAATATCCATTCAGCTGCTTGCTCAACATTACCACCCTGGAAACACAAACAATAACAGGGAAAAAAGATGAGACATAGTAATTGCAACACTTAATAAAAGAGCCTAGCATATAGCTTCTGAAAATCTTTGGAATTGAGACTTACTGATGCCTTCAGCGCCCTACAAGCAAGTTCCTCTTCAAAACCAAAGGAAACCAATGTATCAATTTTTGATCGATCAATATGTGGAGTTTGTACATCTTGGGATATTGGAGAATCAATATCTGGAAAGAACATAAAAAGCAATATTCTCATCATCTAGAAACTTCAAAAGCTTGAGCAACTAAAATAGACTCTAACAGCACCTGGATCATTCATGTGAGCAAGCAACCAGTTCATTGCTTCCTCAACTCCACAGTTGGAAGTATTGATTGCAGCCTTCTGACAATGCAGATAATTAAATCCCATTGAAACAAGTTGTGCAACAATAACCTCATCAGCCAAAAGCTTCGGAGATTCCTCACCATCTCCAGCAGCTGTCCACATGGATCACGAATGAGGTTTATTGAATACCCAGAAATTTTTAACACAAGAGTCGGAACATTCAGAACATATATAGACTTGGCATACAAGTAGGGAAATACATTCAGCGTGATGTACAATTGTCATTCACAAAAACAGAAACGCTAACAAGCTGATGACAAAATGTCTTACTAGAACGGGTATAAATATGTCTTGGGGCATGAGAATCAAAAATTATAAAAGCTTCAGAAAAGTTACCAATTATCAGGGAATTGATTAAATGGTGATCAGAATGTTTCAATTTCAAATGGCAAATCATTGAGGTATTTAGAATCTGTTTCTATCCCTATGTATATGCAATGATATTTTATCACAACTCCCAACAATGAAACAACAAGAACACATAGGATATTGATGTTCGGCTAAAAAATGCATATATTTAACCATTGTTGCCTCACATTCTAATATAATACTTTTAATCGTCTTTTGAGTATTAATTACATTACTTTGTGCTTAATATTATATTTTAACTGTGCAGGAATAAAGCGATGTGAAGATGAAGAGATTTGGAGCAAAGTTGAATAAAACGCGGAAGAAAAAAAAAAGAAAATTAAAAGAATAAAAAAAAGGAGGGACACCCTTTAGGTTGTCCCCCCAATGGAAGAAGAGTAAGCTATGGAATGCAAAGCAAAACGCAGCAAAGAAGGATTGCAAAACGTTATTGGTTTCTGCGTCAGGGCCAGCGCTAGGCGCTGGTATGGATGTTGGAGGCGGGATTTTTCCTATTTCGCACGGGACAAGGTTATTTCGGTCCTATACGGCCCCAACTTGTATAAAGGGGGTTCTAAACCTATTTTGGAGGGGAGAACGTTTTTGAAAGGAACTTTTGACGAAGGGAAAGCACAAAGCTGCTGTGGAGGCTGGGTTTCATCTTTTCTTCCACCAAAACTTAGTAATTTTTATGTTTCTTTATATGATTTGTCGTTTGGCTATCATGTCTATGTAGAGCTAAACTTCACATTCTAGGGTTGTGGTTCTGTCATGATCTCTGTTTTAAAAGGCGTTTCTGGGGTGAGCCCCCGGGCGAGGCGTACCAAAAACGCCCCGGGGCGATAGTGTGGGGCGAAAGTCTCAAAAGGCGTACGCCTCGCAATTCGGGGCGTTCGAGGCGCGTTTTTTTAGTAAGGAGTAAGCCCCAGAGACTTTTTTAAATTAAAACAAAATTTGTTGAATTAGTCCTTCATATAATACCCAAATTCTCAAAAGTCAGTTTGTTAATTACTCAAAAGGTTTAAAAAGGAACTCAAAAGTATTAAATTTAAAAGTAAAGACCTTTTTATTGATTTAAGCCCTAATTCATGATTTTCCCAATTTTTTATCTTGTCCGCTAGTCTGCTAATATCTCCCAAAAGCAACGAATATTTAATTTTTTTTACAAATATAAAGAGAACTTCATTCTTCTTCATAGCAGCAAATTCAAAGTTCAAATTGCAGGTTAATCATCCTTTTTGTTCCTCCATATAGAAAACTTTATTCTTTTAGACTCAAATTACTTATGCTTGTAAGTAACGTATAATAGATTATTTTGATTAGTTTTTTGTGGGGATGGAGCACACATATATATAGTTTTCTTCAATTTTTATGCAATTTTACATGTTTATAAATATTTACTGTCATTATATTATTTTATAAAATATTAAAAATTAAATACCTATGGGGCTTACGCTTCGCTCCTCGGGGCTTACGCCCCGCTGAGGCATATGTAAAAAGCCTCGCCTTACGCCCACGCCTTTTAAAACACTGGTCATGACTATTGTTATTCGGATATTGATTTTGATTTCTTATTTATCATATTGGTTTATTTATTCAATCTTGCGCTTAATGATTTGATTGCTTGATCTTCAATTAAGTACTATCTACGAATCTAGAGTTGAACTCGAAAGTGAGAATTCTAGGTTGCATATAGGATTGAGTAGAGCAAGTTCTTGAACCCAGGCATCAGAGAACGGATTCGCGGATAGGATAGACATATACCTAATTGTCTTGCTTGGTTGATGTACAGGAATTATAAATGTGTTCTTGCTAGTTCTAACTTCATAGACATATAGGCGTTAGTTAGCTTGAATAGGCGAGTAAGAACTCGACAAATTCTTATGAGCAATATTAACCCTGTCAACCAATAAGCTAGATGAATTAGTTAGTCAATTCAATTGAAGAATACAATAGGAATATTAGATAGCCCATAACTCGGGATCGTTTTCATTACATTGATAACATAAAAATTTGTTCTTCCTTTGTTCAGAGTTCATTATTTATTTTCTTTTTAGTTTAATTACTTTAGCATCACTACTTTTGGGTTCAATTCTTGTTTAGCTAATTGGAATAGCTTAATTTAGTTGATAGTTGATAACAAGTTCTCGTGGGTTCGACACTCTATCTTATCACTTTATTACTTGACGACCGCGTATACTTGCGTGTGCGTTTGGCCGCAACAAGTTTTTGGCACCGTTGTCGGGGACTTAGTTATTGATTGTTTATCTAAGTTAAGTGTGATGTACAATTGTCATTCACAAAAACAGAAACACTAACAAGCTGATGACAAAATGTCTTACTAGAACGGGTATAAATATGTCTTGGGGCATGAGAATCAAAAATTATAAAAGCTTCAGAAAAGTTACCAATTATCAGGGAATTGATTAAATGGTGATCAGAATGTTTCAATTTCAAATGGCAAATCATTGAGGTATTTAGAGTCTGTTTCTATCCCTATGTATATGCAATAATATTTTATCACAACTCCCAACAATGAAACAACAAGAACACATAGGATATGACTTTCAAACCAACTATAAAATATTTGAACTAGAATTAACTGACTGGCAAAACAATTCAGTGTAAAAATAACAAATCCAGAGATAACCACAGTAGAATATGCCTTTCAAAATAAAGGACATGAAATTTTGTTTTTCTTGTTAGAACTTTTAGACAACAACAAAAAAAAAAAAAAACAAAAAAAAAAACAGTAGTTTCCCACAAGTGGGTCTTGTTAGAACTTTTAGAGTTATAAAATATATTTTTTTGAATTTTCCAACTTTTTTCGAGTTACTGAAATACTTGAATTTAGTATTTACACTGGGTATCTATACTTTGGGTCAAGAACTCACAAGGTGAAATCTACTATTAATTTACTCAACAGACATGTTGATTTAGAGAACAATCCACCAACTTGGTTAAGAGCAACCACACTGCAATGCTAATAAAAGCAAAAAATAGTCTAATGTTTTTCTACAAGGTGTGAAGGGAGAACTTATTTGTACTTTTTAAATTTATTTGTACATTTTATTTTAATTTGTACTTCATATTTTTATTTGTAATTTATATTTTTATTGTTATCGTTATTGTACGTATTGTTTTTATTTTTAGTTTGTATAATGTTGGCCTGGGATGAATTTAAATGGAGAAACATGGTCAGCGAGGATTAATACAGTTGAGCACAACTCATTTAGAACTGAGGCATAGTTGTTTGTTGTTGGTTTGCAAAGGGAGAAGAACTTAGTAATGAGAGATTGAAACAATCGCGCTTAACTGCAGTCTAAGAACAGGAATACAAACTTTGAACACTAATGAATCAATAAAACATGTGGGCGAGGAAGTCTTCCACTTGGTAACCTATCAGCCAGGGTACTTGCAAGGGGACCAATGTTTTTTTACCAGAAAGAACTCATCCAATCACTTTCCTTCAAGTTGATTCAATCAGAAGCCAGTATAACCACTTTAACACACTTCTTCTCGCTCACAAGAGGCAATGACCTCAACATCGAAATAGAGGCATGACAGAAAAGATGTAAAGCAAAGCAAGGCTCCTAACAAAACTCAAAAAGTCAAAGCAATCTGCTCAGCAGAGCAGTAGACCAATCGCTCCCGTAGAATGGATAAATGAAACTATGAGTAAATTCTTTTGATATCATCACAAACCTAGCTATTTCACCTACAGTTCTGATCTATGACTTTCCATCTTCTTCTGTCACATGCAATATTTTCTGAAGGGACCTGGGGTTTTGAAGGAGTATGAATATAAATTCTTGCAAAGCATGACTGGCATAAAAAGGTAGGCAAGACAAGGTATATGGTCAAACTCACATTAGCCAAGCACACATTTATACATAGTCACATGACATTATTTGACATATATGAAGTAGAAAATTATCAAAATTATATCAGTGACAAGGTAATCATACCAGTCTCAGGTAATAGCTCTTCCCTGGGTTGAAGACCATTACTGCGCATATTACTTATGTCAATGATGTCAGGGACATCTACATAGACATCTGCATATCAACCACCCCAAAAAATAAGAGTAACAATTAACAGGAGAATTTAAAGCAATAGACTCCATCAGAAATATACAAAGCTATAGAAAAAGCAACATACCGAGTTTCTTTGGCACCCAGCCTTCCTCCATGACGAATTTTCGCATGTGCAAGACCAGATAATCAGGAAAGGAAGTCAAACCTGCAGTTCTATTAGGAAAGAAAATAGGAGATGTCAGGTAGAAGGATGAGCAAATAGAGAAAGGTGCTTATTACAGGACATCATGTTCTTGCTAGGCATCGATCATTTCCTCACTAATTGTAACCAATTATTCAAGTTGTGAGAAACTGAAGAAGACAACATACTAGGCAATAGCAATAATATTTTTATAGCCTACTGCAAACAAAAAAGTAATTGCGAGGCGAAATAAATAGTAGCAGCCTGCAAGCGAAGTAGACAAAATAGAATAAAGGACTTTAAGGGACGTCAGAAAACTTACTTGATTGCAGTTGTCCTAGCCTTTAAAGCCGTGCTGTAAAAATCATGCACCTCCTCAGGAGCTGAAAAACAATCCAGGCAATCCTTTAATGGAACCCTTGGGCGGACAATTTCATCTGTAGACCTACAAAAGCTATACATTTACCAAGAAAGTAGAAGAAATGGAAGTGTGTAGCAGACCAGCCGAAACTCACACGTCCTTTCCTTTTGCATCTCTCTCAGCCTTTAACTTTTGAAAGTCTGCTAGCTCTCCTAGAATACCATACCAAATGAATTATAAGATAGAAGCGCAGGCAGGGGAAATATAAAGTACGACAAAAACTCACTTTTGTTTACCGCCTTTTCTAAAGGAATATTAAGAGAAAGAATATAATCTTTCCTCCCGTTGTAGGCCACTTTTCCTGAGGGACATTGGAGGCGTTCTTCAATTCCAAACTTGAAGCTCCTTGAAGGATCAAAATTAGGGTTCCCGATGTTCATCCGATCAACTTGATCAATGAAATGTAGGACAAACTCTAATGCATCCTAGACATAAGCTAACATCAATAAATGTACTGATGACAATAGCCATGATAATGACAACAAACCAGAACGAACATAGATGAAAAAGTACAGAAAGACAAAAACTAGTGAGCTTCAAGGGAAATGAAAAAAAAACACGACGTGTGAGCATGAAATCAGTTATAAAACATCAGTGGGAGGTGAAACAGTTATGGAATAAAACAAAGTTGTTATAAGAACCAGCCCAGATACACACTTCATTACCTCAACAGGAAAGAGCTATATTGGATGTTTCGTGGCTTGAGATGTAAAAAAAATAAAACATAATAGATTTCAGGATTTTATTAGTAGCGAACAGCATTATCATGTTTTAGGTTATCTCAAATGGAAACATCTAATGCTTGAATTAGATTCCAGATACCTGTTGTCTCATAGTAGAAAATTCAGGGTGGCTAGCAGCAATAACTGACTTGAACATGCGGGGATGGATTCCCTCCTGTTTTTGAAAGTTAAGAAAAACAAAGGATTTATAAAAAGTTGGGAGAGAAAGAGGGGTAAAAAATACAATGTCAAGCACACAACCTGATTTAATAGGTAAATCATTCGGCCCAAAGTAAGGCTAGAAATGCCTCACACCATGAGAGGAATGTAAAAGCCCTCTATCTAAAGCTTTAGAAGATCATTGTGAAAGCTAGATTAAAAGCATCTAAAGTTTCAACTTTTAAAGCTCACATATATTATATAACAAATCGCAGTTACTCATGTTATAGAAAGAGCACTCCCCCAACCCCAAATTATAAGCATTCGCAATACCCATTCGACAAGAGTGGGTTGCTCTAGTGGTGAGCACCCTCCACTTCCAACCAAGAAGTTGTGAGTTCGAGTCACCCCAAGAGCAAGGTGGGAGTTCTCTTGGAGGGAGGGAGCCAAGGGTCAATTGGAAATAACCTTTTTCCTCCAGGGTAGGGGTAAGGTCTGCGTACACACTACACACTACACACTACCCTCCCCAGACCCCACTAGTGGGATTATATTGGGTTGTTATTGTTGTTGTTGTTGTTGCAATACATGCCCGATAAAGAATTAGAAACTTAGAAAACAATTTTGGCTAACACCAGGGAAAGCTTTCCATGAACCAGATGCAACCATTTTTTACCACAATCCTATTTTATTTACGAGCTTCGTCATCATGTTAACTTCAGAGCAGCATAAATCCTACCACATGCCAGTAAATTTCCATCAAAATATTTGATTAGCCTAATAAAAGCTATGGAGTGAGCTAAGATTATGTATATTACATGCAAACCAAAAGAAAACATGAACTTCTTCATATATGAAAGTTTACCAGTGAACTTGGAGCATTTGACTTGTCATCATCCTGAATCACAAAAAATAATTGTTATCCACCAAGAAGGCAATGCACAAAGAAATAATTTTTCCAGACACATACCTCCAGAATAGGAACAGAATATTTTCCAGAAAGCAAGCCATGAGCTAACTTTGTTCTGCCAAAATCAGTGTAATGTGTCAACAAGTTAAGGGCACACACAAAGAAATCATAAAAAGCAAAGCAATATTCATCATATCTGCAAATTGGAGAATGAAAAGCGCTCCGCTACAGGCGCTCAGTATTTATTATCGTAGAAAATTCAGAAAATTAAAAAATTCTAACACAACAGAAGTAATTGTCCTGGTAGAGCATAGATTGGACTCACAGGATACAAACTCAGGATATTCCCCGAATTCCCCCCTGCCCACAAAAGAAAGGTAAATATAACAAAAAAGAATAACTAAGAACGAACCATCTATCAAGTAAGAAATAAACCTTGTATCAAGCAAAAGCATCTAGCAATGGTAATGCAAGTCAGGCTATAACAACTTTTTATAAATGTGGTATTTCGGTCAGCTTGCATGCACCTCCACTAATTCTATGGGGTACTTGCTACCTCCCACCAAGCACAGGTACCAAGTAGCCCTGTCTACCAAGTCTTGAACAGATAGGAAAAAATCACCGAGTGTTTTTGCCTCGGCTGGAATTTGAACCTGAGACCTCATGGTTCTCAACTCACTTCATTGACCATTATGCCACACCCTTGGGTGCAAATTCTTTTAAAATATTTACTTTCTTATAGAAAGTACAAATTATATGATATAATTGACATTTTTCCATTCCACATTTTATTGGTTTTACCTCTTCCATCAAGCTTTACTTATTAAAAAAAATGGACATTATTTCATTCCACTGATGGTTATACACGATTAATAAATGTGTTGCTTCATATGACTTTGCCTCCACTAAGTTAGGTTTCTAAATTCTCCGTAGTTGATATGTACATTTGTCTTTGATAGGTAACACATATGTTAACATTATCTACATTGTTAAAGGTTTCCTAACCTAAACATTCGAGGACGAGCTTTAGAACTATTCATGTCATACCTTATTCTCCATGCCTGTGTTGCTAAACCTTAGCATGTTTTGAGGTTCCTTTTTTTTTTATGATCGTGATATTCGGGTCAGCTCGCGCGCACCTCGACTAATTCCATGGAATACCTGCCACCTCTCACCAGCAGCAGGTACCAGGTAACTTTATCCACCAAGGCCTGGACAAATAGGAAGAAATCACTAGTGATTTTGCCTCCGTTGGGATTTGAACCCGAGAGCTCATGGTTCTCACTCACTTCATTAACCACTAGGTCGTAAGAGTGAGGAATAAAATCAGTAAATTGAGGCTAAAGGAGTTCAACCTTGGAAACTCTAGCTAAAAATGTATAATTGGCAAGGACAAGATTGAAGAAGCTCCATTTAGAACCTAATATTTTGGTAACCCTAATAAGAATTACGGCTCACTACAAAATGAGCACGAAAAGAAGCTTCGTGTATATTACAAAGATCAGTCAGAAATTCATTTCACAAATTTACATCTTGTTCATTCACTTGCCCATAACAAGGTGGGTGGTTATTATTTTTTGATGAAAACAAGGTGGGTGGTTATCATTCATTTAAAGGAAGATTCTTGCCTGAGAATAAGAATGTTCTCCACAGGTTTCCTAGATTGTTAACTACATGAGTCTGAGAAAGGACATGATTCAGTTTGAACATATACAGTCTACATAGTGGTTACTGGTTAGCTTCCAAACATAATACGAAATATAAGCATAACTTAGTAAAAGCGTAACGAAGATGATGTCATTTGTTAAGCAGTGCAGACCACCTAAGAAATCTCGTTGGTTGAGAACTAATGGTGAACCAGAAAAATGAACAAATGCAAGTTACTCACAGCTGCATGTTAAGGTCTACAGTAGGATCAGCAGGAGCCACACTGAAAGCTGCTTTGAGACTTTGCTCCACATAGTACCTGTGGGGTATTGCACATCAGATGATAAGACCCAAATAAGAAGGGAAATGCTAAAACTACAAAGTAGAATTACGTGGAAACGAACTTCAATGCCATTTAACATCGAAGACATTTATCACAATAATAATCTCACCGTGAACAGAAGGGACGCATTGAGAACACAACCTGCATTGTCGCGGCCAAGTAGCAACTGAAAAAGAATAAAATGAGACAAGACTTCTGAAAATAAACATAAACAACGGCTACTTTGGCCAACTCACCTATTACCCAAATTGACTAGTCCAGTATAACCAGGTCCAAAAAGTGGTTCAACATCTTGACCAGTTTCTTGAATACGATTCCAGTCATAATTAATATTTTGGTCAAGTTCTCTTTCAGCAGTAGTCATTTCCGTCTGAAAATATTATTAATCAAAAGAACAATGTTAAACCACACTATCAATAAGAAGAAGAATTGGAGCAATCGTAGCTTTGCATCAGTAACAGCAGTGTTTTAAAAGGCGTGGGCGTAAGGCGAGGCGTTTTACATATGCCTCAGCGAGGCGTAATCCCTATAGGTATTTAATTTTTAATATTTTATAAAATAGGATAATTATAGTAAATACTTATAAACGTGTAAAATTGCATAAAAATTGAAAAAACTATAAATATGTGAAAGCTCTATCCCCATAAAAAACTAGTTAAAATAATATATATTATACGCTACTTACAAGCACAAGTAACTTGAGTCGAAAAGAATAAGGTTTTCTACATGTACGAACAAAAAGGATGACTACCTGCAACTTGAACTTTGAACTTGTTGCTATGATGGAGAATGGAGTTCTCTTTGTATTTGTAAAAAATAAATTGAATATTCGTTACTTTTGGGAGATATTAGCAAACTAGCGGACAGGATAAAGAATTGGGAAAGACCATAAATTAGGGCTTCAATCAATAAAAAAGGTCTTGACTTTTAAATTTAATACATTTCAGTTTCTTTTTAAAACTTTTGAGTAATTACAAGCTGATTTTTGAGAATTTCGGTATTATATGACGGACTTATTCAACAAATTTTGTTTTAATTTGAAAAAGTTTTTGGGGCTTACGCCTCACTACAAAAAAGCGCCTCAAACGTTCGGGAGTACGCCCCGAATTGCTGGGCGTACGTCTCCTGAGACTTTCGCCCCACAACATCGCCTCGGCATTTTTGGTGCGCCTCGCCCCGAAAACACCTTTTAAAACACTGAGTAACAGCACAATATGCTAGTGCCGGAAACCTTTATGCATACAACGACTATAGCTCCAGAGGAGAATTCTAAGTAAACTTGAAACGACAAAGAGAACAAACTTTGTTACAGGGGAAAAGAATCAAAGAAATTTACGGACAGGAAAAATAATCATTAGTAAGCAAAAGATTATCATTGTCTTAGTTGGCAACTTGGTAGATTAGGTATGCATATGAGTTAAGCCACCTCAGACACTACTGGAGTTGAGTTTAGTCGAAGGCCCAATTAAGATGGCTATTCCACACGGAAGCTTGATACGTAGCGAAACTAATTAATACGCGTTATACACACTTTTATAAGAGTGAATACAGCAGCTGCTAACCTTTTGCAACGATGAGAAGTCGATACCAAAATGTGCCAGATGCTGTCCTAAAAGTGGGTCAAGAACACTTTCATCCTCTGGGTAGGAGAAAACATCTGAGCTGCCAAACTTTGCAACTGGTTAGTATTAACTCAAGCCAAATGACATTTAAGCATGGTAAAATGAGGGGACATCATTGATGTAGTAAAGAATCCAGCATAGTTGAGTAGCATAGTTGAGTTACAGGGCCATATTCACAACCATGATATTTATCATACTAATGAAGGACATGTCCATCCAAAGCGTATATATGGCAATTTAATAATTGTTCTAAGGTTGAGAACTTGAGGTCTCAGGTTCAAATCCCAACAGAGACAAAAACACTAGGTGTTTTCTTTCCATCTGTCCAGTCTTCATAGATAGAGTTATCTGGTACATGTTGCTGGTTAGAGGTAACAAGTATCCCGTGGAATTAGTCGAGATGCGCACAAGCTGGCCAGGACATCACGGTTATAAAAAAAATACTCTAAGGTAAACAAGCAAGAAATCTACTTGATTCTAGAGTGGAGAAACCGAAGAACTTGTAAAGATATAGAACCACAACACAATCGTGTCATTCTAACATTAATGTGTTTCTATTTCCATAAATAGCCTCTCTATCTTCTCAAAGCGGGAGTAAGGTCTGCGTACACACTACTCTCCTCATACCCCACTTGTGGGATTACACTATGTGAGAAGGCACAGGAGAAAATATGTTATTGATATTGGATAATAAATACAATACAAGAGGTCCTTATTTATAGTTATACACTACAAGGAGATATTACTTCTCTTCCAATGTGGGACAAAACTACACTATACATATTTGAAAACTAACACTCTCCCTCAAGCCGGTGCATACACATCATATGTACCGAGCTTGTTACACATGTAACTAATACGAGAGCCAGTAAGAGACTTAGTGAAAATATCTGCTAGTTGATCATTCGACTTTACAAACTTTGTAACAATATCTCCTGAAAGTATTTTTTCTCTGACAAAGTGACAGTCGATCTCAATGTGTTTAAGTCCTCTCATGGAACACCGGATTTGACGCAATATGAAGAGCAGCTTGGTTATCACACACTAGTTCCATCTTGCTGATTTCTCTGAACTTTAACTCCTTGAGCAACTGCTTGACCCAAACTAAGTCACACGTCGCCATAGCCATGGCCCGATATTCGGCTTCGACGCTAGATCGAGCAACTACATTCTGTTTCTTGCTCTTCCACGAGACCAAATTACCTCCTACTAGAACACAATATCCAGACGTAAAACGTCTACCAAAAGGTGATCTTACCCAATCAGCATCTGTATACCCAACAATCTGCTTGTGGCCTCGATCCTCGAATAGTAATCATTTGCCTGGAGCTGACTTTATATACCGAAGAATGCGAACAACTGCATCCCAGTGACTATCACAGGGAGAATCCATAGACTGACTTACAACACTCACCGGAAAAGAAATGTCAAGTCTAGTCACTGTGAGGTAATTCAATTTGCCAACCAACCTCCTATATCTCGTAGGGTCTCTAAGA